GTTAATTCGGCGTTATTAATTTGAAAGTTATAAATAATTAAAATTACTAAATTAAATTCCAAATAATAAATAACAAAATATTATAAAATACAACAGTATAAATAATTCCTGTAATTTTAAATAATTTTTGTTAAACTGTTAAATTAATTTTCTTCTAAAAAAAAGCAATTAAAATTTTAGGCATTCTCAAGCACCCAATATGTACTCAAAGCACCTTGGATAATAAAAGTTGTCCAAAAACAAAGCAAAGCTTTGCAAATGTGCTTGCAGTATGCACGCGTGCAATACAATATGTACACAATATGCAGATATCCCAGGGCCGGTAGCTGGTATCATAAAAGATAGGCGGTAATGACTTATCGATCCGACTTTTGCCTACTCCCGAGTCGTAGTCCGCGGGTCAGGCGTGTGCTGGCGCGCCCTCCGGCAGCGCAAACGACCAAACGCGTTTATTATTAATTAAGGATTCATTAAACAGCCCACCACTCCACACTGCAGCCCAGCAAACACCCGCGCACCCCTTTTGCAGCAGTGCAGGTCGCCGCGGAAAGTGCATATCAGAATGCATATCAAAATATTATGCTTATTCATGCGCCGGCTGGTATTCCACCGGCGGGTCAAATAACAAAAAACACATTGTCTTGTAATTTATGACATAGTGCAAATATACAGTGTGTTTAAAGCATGTTATAATATAATTCATATAAACTTGAAAAATGAAACAAAGTAAGGCTTATAAATATATAAATCGATTGTGTGATTATGGTGTATGGTGTATAAGGTGAGGGGGGTAGTAATTACCCCGCCCATTTCAACAGCGACACCTGTTAACGTGCTTTCTTCGACAAAGTTAAAACTTGCATAAAATTACATTTAATTATTTTCCAAGAGTACAGGTTACTTTTTCGCATAACTAGCTTCTCGAATAGTGGTCGATAGCTTTTAATTATGTGCGTGCACTACCCTCCTAACGTTTTAATTACGTCTCATTTGTGCCGGTACACACACAGCTATAAATTAAACGCGTAATCTGACTTGGTTCCCAATATACCATATGTCCGAGTTAAAAAAAAACACCTAAAAGTGATTGTTTGATCAAAAAATCCGTTTGATCATTACAGCATTTGAGGTGTTAATCATACTCGAATTACACTCGTAATCCGAGTCAAAGCACCAGTGGACGTGGCCTGCCTGCTGCAAGAGTGTCGATCGTAAATTAAAATTAAGATTAATCACTCTAATCAAAACGCCGAACGCCCTAATTGCACTAGGGTTGGTTCCATTCGAAGGTCCATGCCCTCGGACGAGCGCCCATCTACGGGAGTGTATTACGCAAATCGGGGTCGATTCCTCCGCATGTCCGAAAGGGTGAAAGAGACCCGGCGACGGCCAAAGAACGTCCGAAGGTAAGACAGGCGGGCGCGTACAAGGGTCGAGCGTGCGCGTGTAATAAGAGACCCGGACCGATCATTACGTAATCTCGTTCGCGCGCGCAATCCAAAGGATGAAAAGGGATTGCAGCATGTGGATCTCTGGGCGCGCGCGCAGGCAAGTCCTGTAGTCCCGATGATTACATGGGAGTCAAGTTATCCTATAATTACCAGTCGTTACCACTAGTGCGAGCAAAATTCGAGCGGATTGCAATTTTCCGAGGTTATGTTACACGACGTCAAAAGCTGCTAATTGAGACTTAAAGAATAGCCAACCTGTACGTAAAATAAATAAATAAAATCAATAGTTATGCTGTCGGCGTAAATTTAAACATGACGAGAATGACTTTATGACGCGCCTAGTCGTAAATATTATTGTTTTCAAAATGTTTAATAAAACGTTCGTAAATTTTTGGCAGGACATTGTTCACGCATTGTTTGCGACCAAATGGCGTGCACATATTAATGAGCGCATGCTGCGCAAATGAAAAGCATCGACATTTAGTTATGACAAGCATTTTCATTTCGCCTACACAAAACAAAACAAAACAAAACCGAAGAATCAAAGGACTCCGATGATAATTATATTTCATTCAATACTGCAGGCCAGTGAATTTATTACAGCCTGTTAAAAATAAATATTTACTCAAACACATTGTATAATATCGTGGATAAAATTCACAAGTCATCAATGCGAGATGTAATGCAACTGTACGCGGTGGTAATACTAATGGAAAATGAAAATTATAATCTTTCCAAGGCAGTCGTCGGAGACGGCTGAATGAAATGGCGAAATTTGATGCAAAAGGGGTAGTTTTGTGCGGCGGGTGCACAATGCGGCCGCATCGCGATTCATTTATTCGTACGGACGAGCGAAATGCGCGAATGCGCGCCGTGCACGTGTACAAATATAAGCGATGGCAATGCAGTTGCCGCCTCCGCCAAAGCCGGCGGTAGATTGGATGATGCGAGGTGGAATTGCAGCCTAGGCGCGCAACTAGACGTAATGACAATCTATTGTGTTCGATGCGTCTGCACACGCTCGGATCGGCGGTCGTAGTTGGCCGGATAGCTGTCCGACGAGCCGCGGATGAAATTATTTCGAATTTCGTTCAATTGTCCTTTTAATTCCGAGAGCTACCGTCCCCACGGTCGTTGGGAGCAAAAACTTCGCAGTAAAAATAGTATTATCACACAAATTGAAGTTAAAGTAGCGCCATCTATAGGTTAATAGCGCATAAAAATTAAAAAATTCAAAAATGCTATATAAATATTTTTTTGTATTATTTTGAGACAAAATATTTAATAAAAAATTATGGATATCAGAACGTCAACTTAAAGTAGCGCCATCTGTAAGTTAATAGCGTATAAAACTTGAAAAACATGAAAATCCCAAATAAATATTTTTTTGATTAATACTGAGACAAAATAATTAATAAAAAAATGATGGAACTGGTTGAAGGGGTCGCCGCTGAAATTACCCGTTTGGGGGCGGCAGTTATTGGTACGATACGCAGAACATCCGACACAATCCGACAATATAAAATGCAATTTATTATGTATTTTATGCCATGGATCCGTATCCGACGGCGGGGGCAGCGCGGTGGCGGGTGGAAAAACGAATTCATATCCAATAGACACTCAATAATAAATCAATAGCGCGAGACCTCGCCGCTCGCTGCTCGCATCCTTCCATCCCGATGTGGCGATAAATCTGGTCGATAATTTATTGCCCGCTTACGATATTTCGACAGAATGCTCTCGCACACCAACGCACAAGCACCAGCGGCGGTTATACGTCGACTGGACGCCACTGTGGAGGCGGAATGCTTCCGTTTTCCCATTTCGGGCCACCGAGCTGTTCGCATAAGTTATGCGGCGATATTATAACCGCCGGCGTGCCGTCCGACGATACCGCAGCGATTTAGCTTTATTGTTGTGAGATGTAACGATTTTTATGCGCTTCGGAGCAAATTTCAACATGACACGCCTGCTATGAAATGCTTCACGGCGAGCATGAAGTCAACATAACCTAGTTTAAAAGTGACATGTGTCAATATAGTGCCATCTATGAAATAAAGCTTAAAATACAAAAACTAGTAGATTGTCGGTAAAATAAAAGTTTTCGATGATATCGCGTGCATTTTAGCTGCTGGAAATACGGAAATAGCTCAATTTGTTTTCCTTTTTATTTTCATTTGGTAGACGGGCACATTTTTCAATAATTTGCGACGTACCAGCGTAATTTATATTCGTCATTCGTCAAGGTGAGAGCGTTTTGAGGTCGGCGTAATCAAAATTAATATCGCAGAAACAATATTCGAAATTATACACTCGCGCAATTTGCGACAAGATTTCACCCTCCGATTTCGGCGCCGCCGCCCCCAAGCGCGCAGCCGCGCAAGTCAATTACCGGTCACGTGATTCGCTCGTTATAACGATTCGTTAAAAACGAGTGTACTTTTTAATCACGCGCCTAATCGGCAATGCTTTTTAATAAGCAAAGCAAACTTTCTTCCAACATACCAAGTGTCCCAAGCGGAAAATCTCCAAAATTCAAACAAAAATCGTTTTTTTTCTCCTTCAATTAAATACACATTGTATTTAAAACATGCGTGCGTTATCGGTGAGCAATCTCACTTGCTTTCTCTCACTCAGCGCTAATAGCCACCCCTTGCCGCCTCAAACCGCCACCGCCACAACCAAGTGTAATGGGGAATATCGAATGACTACAAAGTTAACTCAAGCAAAATCCAGTTACGCGCGCTTATATTTATTAATAGCAATTATAATATGGAAATTACAACAGAGGCAGTGGGGGTGGTTGAAGGGACATGTAAGCGTGCACAACGTGCTATTAATAATTTAATGGCAACGGGGATTAGTGTTCGACGAATTAACGTATTATGCGTATTAAAAATAATAAATATTTGATGTCGTATTGAATTACCTGATGGCGGGGGAGAATGGAACGCTGAGCATTGTGATGTTATCGTGATTAATAGCTCACTTAATGAACTATTAAATAATGAGAAGCCATAGAAATTTTTTTTTAAATAAAACTGTTTATCACAATTTTGTTTTTTACTTTTTTCAATAACAAGATTTTTTTCGATGAAATTCTACAACTTTTTGCACATTTTGCTTTAAATTTTTTGCGAGCCCCTAAAAAATAATCCCAATGAATGAAAACCTCAATTTTATTTATATTAAAAGACTTATATTAAACTTTTTCGGGCCGAAGCTCGAAAAATAATGAAAAAAAAAAGGAGAGGAGCGCCCTAAAAGAGACTAAATAAAATCCTTCGCCTGAAAATATGGCTCAAAGGAAGCGAAGCAAAGCGTAAAGAGTTTTTCGACGCGAAATGATAAAATTCCGGTTGGCCTCCAGCCGCCGCCGGACCGGACTTCGGTCAAAGTCATTAAGAACAAACATCAAAGCCAGACGAAAATACACACTGGGGCGCACAGAAGACTCGTTCATAATTGAATCAAAGTTTTCTTTTTAATAAAGAAAAAAAAAACACCGAGCACGAGTCCCAAAATAAATAATTATTAGAGATGACTTACCTTCCGCCAACGATGAGCGAATCAGAGTCTCGCATCACCAACCGGAAGTAATCCGTGTGCGTGTCATTCCCCATAAAACGATGTACATCATCTTCAGCTCCTGAAACATGAAAGAAATAAAAATTAATATTTATTAATTTGTAAATCTTTTGACACATTGTATATTATTTACTCAGTTATTATTATTTCACCAAGCCTAGTATTGCTTTGAGTGTTGAGTTAAGTCTAGAACAAATGCTAGACCACAGGGTGGCGGCGACCGCGACACGATTTTGCACTAAATGACTAAACACGCGGCGGGGGCGGCTAATTAAATTACGTCGCCGGCAATGTTCGGACGTCGCGTTCATCGTTTCGAATATGCCGCCGCATATGAATTGGAAACGCGTCGTGCCGGCCGCACATTAATCATTTATCCGAGCGGCGGGCCTCGACCGCTGCCGGTGCTATTGCCGCCTCACTGGTGCATACCTACCGCGCCCGGGCTGCTTGTATCGATATCAGCAAAGCATCAAGCGTCAAACTGAACAAATATTTGATACCTGCCAACTCGGCTGCCCGCATTGCATGCAAGCGAGGAGGCAAAGTTTGTGTGTATACGTAAATAGATTTAGCGCTGGAGAATTTCCATTTACATCGAAAGCGCTTCAAATTCATTTGGATACATTAGACGAGGTTAGAATTGCAACAATTCAATCAGGAATAGTTGAAAACACGAAAAAAGACCGGAAGTATAGAAGTTTAGTAACAGCACGGAAGAAAAGTCAATTTGTAACAACATAACCTAACTTATATTCTACTCAAGAGAAAAGTTGACAAACAGATGCGCTCAGACAATGCGCTTCTTAGGAAATTTTGAATCACAATCAAATTCCACATCATATATGCGATTTTCATCAAATAAAAAACTACTACATGTCCAACATTTAGTACCTAGCTTCACAATTAGGAATTTATGCCTTCACGGTAAAATACACATGAAATAATTTATTACGCGTGTAATAAATCATGATAAAATCAACCAGCAAGTCAAAACCAACAGTTATTTAAAATTCACGCTTTTAATGCAATATATCATGTTGTCACTTTGTCACGTCGTTCCGGCCAATTGTGCTCAATTATTAGTTAGCTAATAGTTGGCTAAAAATCACTTTTAGAGTTTGAGTTATAAATTAGTCCACCTGAGAACCCGAGCTCAGTTCCTGAGCTCACTTCCAAAGATCGTCACCGAACTCTCCGGTAACAATAAACCAACAAACCGCGGCGCCGACAAGCTGAAACTCCAGCGCTGAGAATGAAGGAAACTGCTTAGCAACTATCTATTGAATCAACAAAATAATTCAGTTATCTGCCCAATTACGCCCTCGTTAGTAGCAACTTTGTATTACATCTATATATCTACCTATCTATCTAAAAATATAACTAGTTTAAGAAAAAGTAAAAAAAAGTATGCAACCCAATTAACTTTTATTCCGTGGTGTATGTTTGGTTGCATACGATAAATTTGAAAAGTTCACTGTTTGTCCACCACAAAATGTTTGTTTGGAAAGGCGTTTGGTGTGTTGATCTCGATCCGATGTGAAATTGGCTTTGTACTTCGGTCGTTGCGCACCCCACATGCTGTCATTATCATTATCATCAATATCATTTATGGCTAATTGTAATAAACGTTTACCTCCATATCATACCATATTGGCTTTTGCACCAACACCAACATCACACCGCAGTGCCAGTCGAAGCGCATTACATCCACACGCCGCCCCCAAGCCTTCATCCCTAATAAGTCCTAATAATATGTAACGTACACCCCCCCGCGATGTGTACATATGTAATGCGACGGTGGCGGTGGCGGCGGCACGAATTGGAGCGCGCATTAAATTTAATATCAATATCAGTGATATCGATGCTTTCCGGGTATTTCCGGCAATTTCCTTGCTTGTTACCGCGGCTAATAATACATAGTAAAATATTTTATTGCGTGTTCTGTGAGTGTTTCCAGTGTGGAATGTTATTGTCTCTAAAAGGGCCACTGTTGAAATTGATTTTAATGTTGGTACAATGTATGCAATTAAATTTTAATCTGCAATTGCAGAATAATAATAAGTGGTTGCCGTTATATTAGTTTGTTCTGTATTGCATATTGCGCGGGAGCCACGCCCACATGAGAGGTTATGTTTGGTTTTAATGGGAAGCTTATGTTAAAAACGTGAAACTACTGCGCATATACCTAATAACTGTTAATGTTAATAACTGTATGTATATAATTAGTATTTTTGATGTTTCAACATACCAATCCCGCCATTTAGGTAGTGTTTAACATTCAGTCGACAGAGGAACGTCAGTCGACATTTTGACGAGTGTCGCACGTGCGTCGGACAGCTCAGCACCAAGTTCCGACGCAAATCGATCAGCTTCGTGCTTTGCGCCTCGGTGCTCCACCCCGTCGCCATTAATTATATGCTCATTAGTTTAGCGCACACGTCGATGGCATTCGAATCGTCAATTAAATAAACATTTGCGCGCAAGCCGAAATTAACAACAAAAATAGGTCAAAGTAAGACCGAAATTAGAAAACTTTCCTATTAAAACACTGCAGTAGCTACGTATTATACAAAAAGTATAACATTAAAGTCAACTTAAATAATATTGAGTAGATCCGCACTGCGGACACAGTGTATGTTTTATATTTAATATGAATATTAGTGTTGTCGGTCCAAACGCAAATCAATCAATCAATTCGGGCGCAAAGCATGTTCGAAAGCGCATTGGGATGATGGTGCACGTTGAGTATAGTGGATGTGCGCTTAGGCTCGGGGGCGGTTTTGGCTAGCCGCCGCACATTCGAAGCACCTTGCAGCGAGTGCGCCAAGGGAAATAATAGTTATGAACTATAATCTGGTTTGAAAGCCGCCGGGGAGTTCGGCGTCCGTTGCGCCAAACCAAACCGAACCGACTGCAGGACTACCACACCGCCGCCGCCACCACAGAATCAGTCATATGGACCGGACGTTTATACCTCTGTTCGATCAGGGGCAAAACAATAAATTCCAAAAACCATATGCGATTGTGTACCTATAATCAAACTGTAGGTTTGAATCGTGGACGGCTGTCGATGATTTGGCAGCCGTGGCGGTCGACGGCGGCGGCAGTGGTGTGAGCAACCAATCATCCCATTAAGACCACTGCGAATGCGGACGTCGTGTTTCATGTTCCACGTTTCATCGCAAACGTAACAATTCCGGTCAGAGCTGACCGACCGCTGCGGCCCCCCACACATACACCTTTGCAAAAGGGGGGCGGCGGCGATGGTGGCGGAGAGCAATCCAATTTCGATCCGCTTAAAAGTCCTGACGAGTCGCACAAACGTGCGACGCATGCACGCTCGAATTGAAAACCGTCGATGGCCGATGATGAAGACAGCCGCCTCCGACCTACAGTAACTATAGTTACCTACTGCCGTCCACCTATGTGTATGTCCAACGTAAAGTCCAGTCTAGCCGAGTCAAGCGAGTCAAACGAGCAGAAACAATGCGGAAAATGCGAGAAAACGGAAAAAACAAAACGCCGACGTCCTGTAGGATGACTAAAGTGCACAGGACAAACGATAAATTGCTTCCTTGCATCAATGAACACCAGGATGACAATAATAAATAAAATAACAAAAGTTGTGAATAAAAATTCTTGGAACACAAAACGATGTTGCAAATTGATTTCGATTGTTGTCAGCTATTCATGCTTAGTAGATAGGCAACCAAGTGTACACTTTCAATTCATTTAAACTAGCCCAGAGAGTCGGTCTGGTTCGATTTGTGTAAGAAACATTAAATTCGCTCGAGTTAAACTAAAACTTTTATGCGCTTATGCATATCGTTTCGATATGTTCCGTAAGCTTTTTACAACCACTTTAGACGTTATGGGGGCGGCGGATGTAATACTCAGACGTCGCTTATAAACTTATAAAACCATACCATACATGAGACCAACGCAGCCCGTCGAAAAAAAAAACGAACAGAAAAGCGTCGTAAATGAATAAGCTATTAGAGTATATTGGAATTTTCGGGGGCGGCTGCCGCCTCCGCCAATGCCATTGCCGGTACTGCCGGCAGTAAACCGGAAGCACGCAACGCGTGCGAAGACGAAAACGACACAAAGGGGGAAATGAAGACGAAAAAATGAATTTATGAATGCACCCCACCCCCCGGCACCAACCCTCAAAACACGAATACGTCACAAGAGGGTCGTAAAACATCAAGGGTTATACCAAAAAACGCGAATGTGCCATTAAAAAAAATATCTAAGCAGAAAATTAAAAATAAAAAAGTTTTAAGACGCATTTTATGAAGTCCTGGCGAACACACTGTATACTTTTGTTTTATGATAGGCAAAAGACGATCAGAACGTCGGTTGGCGTTCGAAGGCGGCAAAAACATGATTGATACCCGTTTCCTAGCGCCCATATTCATCATTTTCTTCGCGGGCGCAAAAAGGATCTTTGCGCTCGAACGCACGCAGGACGCAGGACCTCGGCCCCCATTTCTCATTTCCTGCCCACGCGCAGCACCCCGTTCCCGGAACGCAAGTTTTCCCATACTTTGACTTCACTGATATATTCCATTAGCATTCGCAATCTACATCTACCCCCAAACGTGCGCGCAGGACTACATCCTGCCGGAGAAAACAAACCGATAACAATTTCGACACTTTAAGTAATCTCAGTGCATTCATTAATCAGCAGCAAGCGCCCAAAAGTGGATGGAAATCGCTAAGACAATGATTCATTTATCATGCGCCCCCTAAACACACTGTAGTTTTTTTTTCTCCTCCTTTTGGCAAGAAAATCGAAAACATCACATGCCCCACGTTGTTATCATCGTGTAGCGCGCTTTCACGATGAATGAACGTTGCGTAATAAGAACGTAACGACGCCGGCGATTTTCTTGATTGCCGCCCCTTTCCTATGGGGGCGGCAAAACATCACCAAAAACGAAAACGATGATGATGTAAAGATCCTGTTTGCGTTCTCCCTTCGCCAAGACACACGCTTATCGCATCACAACGCAACATTGCGTGTTGTTTGTATCTCACACCCGGGACTAGAGA